GGACACAACATCTTTGTTGGTATGTGGTGCTGAGGATCGAACCCGGGCCGCACGCATGCCAGGTGAGCGCGCTACCGCTGAGCCACATCTCCAGCCCCTGGAAAATATAACTTAATTCCCTTTCTTGATTATCTTTCATTATCACAAACATTGCTGCAATTACCATGTTTCCCGTATATTTTTTCTTTCATTAACCATTTTCTGCACATAAATTCTTAGGAATGAGATCACTGAGTCGACAAGTATTATTCAGATTCTTTTAATAGCTCTTCACATACCTTGCTAAATAGCTTCATCTAAGTATCATGCAGATACACAAATTCATCAGTTAGCCTAAGCTTGCCAATAGTCTTACCATTGAACACTTTCTTAGATATTCATAAGTAGAAACCCATTTTTGTCTTAATTTATACTTCTTTAATTAATATCAGGGTGGAACATTTTCTTGTGGTTAAGAATTTTCCCCTTGTGGCAGCGGGGTGCAGTGGTGCACACCTATAATCCCAGCAGCTTAGGAGGCTAAGGCAGGAGGATCGTGGGTTCAAAGCCAGCCTCAGAAACTTAGCAAGGCCCTAAGCAATTTAGCAAGAACCTGTCTCTAAATCAAATATTAAAAAGGGCTAGGGATGTGGCTCAGTGGTTAAGCACCCCTAGGTTCAATCCAGATCTCCCCCAAAATAAGATTTTTCCCCTTGTGGGATTTGTGTTTATGGGCAAATTTATCTATCACTTATCACTGCTCTAGTAGCTTCCCCAAAATTTTCATGTTCATATATAATTTTTTGTTATAATTTTTTATAAATTTTCCCTATTTGTTGCTCTCTTTTGCTACATTAGCTTCAAATCATATTAATATTTTAATTTGGGGCTGGGGATGTGGCTCAAGCGGTAGCGCGCTCGCCTGGCATGCGTGCGGCCCGGGTTCGATCCTCAGCACCACATACAAACAAAGATGTTGTGTCCGCCGAAAACTAAAAAATAAATATTAAAAATTCTCTCTCTCACATTCTCTTAAAAAAATATTTTAATTTACATTCTGTTTGTTTTTTTCCTCGGGAATTTCTTCCATGGCTACTATCTTAAGAAAACTGACCTATTGTTGGAATAAATGTTGGTTTTCTATTGTCCATTCATTTATCACTCATTCAACTTTCAAGAACTGTTTCTATGTGCCTTGCTTGACAACAGAGACTTAAAAAATGATGAATGACATAACAGTACAAATTATTCAAAACTTGGAAATGGGCAAAAAGAGTTATAGGGTGTCCTCCCAGTGCCACTGGAATCCCATTAACTGCTTCTCTAGGGACATACACCTTTGTTTGGCACATTATTTACTATTTCTGAGGCTGTGAGGTCAGTTGGTATTCAGGGGGAAAAAGTAATCAGAAAATTCTTTCTATATACAGATACAAATGATCAATCAGAATAATGAAGCTCTAAGTCTGAGGCTCAAGATCTTCCCAGGCCCAAGGGAATGGAGCCTGAGAAGCCAACCCAGTGTCAGGGGGGCTATTTCACCAGCAAGGCTGGCTTTGAAGAGCCATGACCAAGCAGGACATGGGAATGTGGTACAACAAAAATAAAGGTCTCCAAACCAATGGATCTGTCTTTGCTCCTCAGCCCTGTCTCTTCTTGGGTCTATTAAGGCTCTTTTCTTATCTACAACAGTAAAGTAGTCAGGACAAGTTCAGTGAGCTAATTTTTAAAGGAACCCATCACAGGGCTAGACATATAGCTCATTGGTACAGCACTTGCCTAGCATGCACAAGGCCTTGGGTTTAATCCTAGCACCGCAAAAAAAGAACTTCCTCACACCTGCCATATACTTGGTCTTCTAATAAATGTCATTTATTTTCCTTCCCTCTAAATCCACTGTGGATTCTGAATCCATGCTGAACTGATGGATCTTAGTCATTTTAGACCCCCAGAGTCTATCATCAATTAAAGCAGAAGAGAAAGTTGGTGATGCTGGGTTGGAAGGCATTAGTATACTGTATTAGAAAGACAATGGTTTCAAATGGCCCCACATCTGACCACAGCTGGCCTGAAGCATTCCTCTGAAGTAACCCGTTTTCTCAGAAGACTCAACTGGATGATTTCTAGGGTTTCTTCAAGTTCGAACATCCAACTTGAAGTCCAGGTAGCCTGTGCATCTGCAACAAGAGCTTCCTGTGGCTGTGTGTACAGTGGGTCTGATGGCCTCATGAGGCAATGGCACTACATGGCTGCTTGCTTACCTCTCCTACCACCTCTATGATGTCACCGACTTTCAGCTCAAGCTCGTCATCATTCTGGGGCAGGTAGCTGAACGCCACCTGGCATCGGCGCCTCCGTCGCTCCCCTGGATGGGAAAAGCAGAATATTTAGATACAGTTCTTCTCCCAAACTAAGATTTTTAAAGAGAGGTTTCCTAAGCATGCAGGCAAATTAAGCTGACTTGTCTCAAATATGCTCTCTGGGACATGGCTAGAGGCACAGCAGCCCTGATCTCTTAGAGGCAGTAGAAAGCAGAGCAATGCTTCTTGGTCTTTTAAAAGCTGCTGGGTCAAAAAAGGCATGGATATGAGAAACTGATCCATTGGTGCAGAGGCAAAAACCCCACCCCTGAAGCACTGGAGCACAGTGTTGCCTTAAACGGTTTTCCATGGATAGGGCTTTATATTTGCTGCAGTTAATTTTTGATGAAAGCTGATGTGATGTGGTAGAGAAACAAGAATGGTCTGCTTTGAATGCTAGCAAGGCAGAGAGCATTTTCCCCCAAATGGCAAAGGAAAAGAGAAAGTATCCTGACCTTTTTCCTGCTACTCATCGCCCTTTCAACATGCTGGAACTCAGGCCTGATAAGCAAAGGCTGGTTAGGTTTCAGTCTGCTCTTGGTACCATTTTAAATGCCCCACAGGGTTCAACAAATCCACTTCTTTCCTCTTCCCTTGGTCCCAGGGGATCCATTAACAGGCTCCCTAGCTGTCTACACAGAACCAACCCAGGCAAATCAAGATAAAAGCCAGGGCCACACTTCACTTCACCAGAGGACACTCAAGGTTACATCATCTCACTCACCCAGGGTGGCCCACCTGGGAGCCTCCAGTTTAGAGCTGGTTCAAGTACAGATATGTCTGTCCACAGCACATCTGCACCACAGATGTGCACTGTGGGGAAAGAGAACATGAATGTGGGACATGTCTGTGTGAGAGAGAGAGAGAGAGACAGATGACAGAAACACAGACATGCAACAGTGGAGGCCCAAGTCAGAGAGAGGTGGATGAGAGCTAAGATGGACACTGCCCCAGAAGTTTGTTGCTTATAGCCAACACCTCACACAACTCCTTCACACCACCACATGGCCTAGAAAACCAAAGGGATCAACGACTTCAAAGAAACACATTTAGAAATGCTAAAATTATTTTGAGGTACTGCCTCTGGGGATTCTTTTTCTTTTCTAATCTTTTCCCTGAGAAAGGAAGTCCCTGTAGGGGTGATCACAGAGCACATTAATGCCCCCATGCAGCATGACATCACACAAAGAGGAAGGTGTCTGTGCTACATCTAATGTGCTTTCCAATCAATATTTTTCAAAAGCCGGCGGCCTAGTTCCCTGTTTCATTGTTCTCTTCCTGCATCTCACTAAGGAAGAATAGGGTTGAAACAGGTACAAGGACAGAAGTTCAAATCAATATCTTGTCTAATCACATCTTTGATGACTATACAAATAATCTCTATCTCGTCGTGCAAAGTCATCCGCCAGTGCATCTTAATAAGAACAAACTCAGAACTCTCAGGCCCATCCCAGGTGAGCACTGCAGCCTATCACCATAAGGAGGGCCTGGCTCTCCCTGGAAATGAAGGTACCTGCATGCTGGCTTGTTTCTCCAAGGCAGCAAGGCCAGGGGAGTGATATTCCAGTGTAGAGAACACTATCACTGCTCCATGGCTTCTGATACCATAGAAGGTAAATCAAGTACTCTGCGCCATAGAGGATAGAAGTTTCTCATTCTAGGGGCTGGGGTTGTGGCTCAGCGGTACAGCAGTTGCCTAGCATGTGTGAGGCGCTGGGTTTGATTCTCAGAACCACATAAAAATAAATAAAATAAAGGTATTGTGTCCAACTACTGTGTGTGTGTGTGTGTGTTGTATGTGTGTGTGTTTTTTAAGAAAAAGAAAATCTAGATGACAAGGCAGTCTTGGCACCCCTGTCCAACCCCCATCCCCAGTTAGACCCCATTAAATGAAGTACATGAGTCTTTAAGAGCTTTCATTTTCTACACATTATCTTCAAAGTAAATTCTGCAGACACAAATTTGAGCATGAAACAAGTAAAATGACAAATGTCTGAAAACTGACACAACCACAGAAATCATCAAAGTCCCTACCAAAATGACTTAAAAGTAAAATGTGAAGACCCAGTGTTAGCTGAAGCTGTAAAACTTACAGTTATACATAAGTTCATATCTTCAAAAAAACTCTCTATAGTAAAACATAGTATCTAACCCAACACTGCACAGATGGCTAGGGCAGGAGTGATACATTCTTAGAAAAAAGACTAATGTAACAGACTTAGGACCTGGAACAGAATCATCAGATTTCTCTAGAGCCAAATCTCTACATTGGACTTTCCTATGGAAGTCCAGACCTGCCTGGTATCGGAAGAATGGTACATTCACTAATTTCTCTCTACCAAGCTAAACAATATTTCTTAAAAAGCCCCTAAGGGCTAGGGATATAGTTCAATTGGTAGAGTGCCTGCCTAGCATGCACAAGACCCTGGGTTCAAACCCAAGCACCACTAAAAAAGTAAAAAAGCCTCTAATAAGATTACTTAATTGGTGGCATGAAGTCCTATAAAACACATTGTCAACATACCCAGAAAAGCCCTACAGAGAGCACAAGGGAGAGACTCCGAGGTAGCTGGTGGTAAAGATCATGTCACCTGACCGCAAGCAGAAACAGTAACCCCACCCCCTAATTGGGATAGTTCATGATCCTTAAAGCTCTTCTGATACCCATCACTATTAGCTCATCCTGCTGGTCACGTACCAAGGAAAGCACCAGAATCATTTTTGCAAATGAGGAAACCAGGGTTCACTGACTCACCAGAGTCACTAAACTAGTAAGTGGCAGTATTTCCTTAACTGAGTTCAGAGCTCTGTCTCCAGTCCTGGATGAACCAGCAAGTCCCAAATTCACTGCAATTTGTATTTAACTGCTTCTTGCCACACATCACCCAGTCTTCACCATAACTCTCTCATTACAGGGTACTCCCAAGCTCCAGTATGCTGCTTTCCTAGGCCCAAGTTCTATCACATCCCTGGCTTGAGCTCGTGTGCCAGACCTACCCAGCCTACGACCCAATTCAAGTGGGATGCCTGAAGATCACTTGCATCCATCCATCTTAAACATCAGGAAGTTCAGGGTGTCATTTTTCCTCTCCTGGCATTTCACTGACGTTTACTCATGAATCTTGACCTTCCTCATAGAGGCAGGGAGATGACATCTCCTTCTAATAGCTACTACAAATTGGAGATTAAAATGTATAATTTATCTATGCTTGGGATTTAGAATCCCTTAGTTTCAGCTACCACCTTCATGCCCAGATGAACTGGGCATAGAGTCTTTGGTGTGAACTCATTTTAACATACTTTACTGGGTTTTCTTCTCTGGAATAAACCAAGTCTTAAAAGAAAAGTTTTCTTTAAAAAATTAAATATATTTGCTGACTATGGCCAAAAATATAAGTCTTAGAAAAACTAAGAAGTAGTACAACCAGAGATATGAAACATTGTGCTCTATATGTATAATATGAATTGTAATGCATTCTGCTATCTTATATAACAAATTAGAATAAAAAAAATAAAAAAAATTTTCTTTGTACATTAAAAAAAAACCCCTAAAAAGTAGAGAAAATGTGTTTTTCCTCATTCACATCAGCACCATTGTCACTATTCCATATAGTGATGTGTTTTCTAGGCAGAACCACTTCTCACACATAATTGAAACAAGGAATGGACATAAATTTTATCTATATATATTCAAATGCATATGCACACATGGCTTATCAAGGAAGTAGGAATAAGGAAGACTCCCAAAGCATACTTGATATGTCTCTACTTTATATGACAGCCATGAAATACACATACATGAGCATGTGCTCATGCAGGGACATACACATGCATGTATGAAAAGACAGGCTCACCTTCCACTCTCTCACTAGAACTCATAGCACTTTCTAATCTTAATTAGTTTTACTTAACAATGACTAACATTCACTGAGAAAGTACTATGTTCCAGGGTTTATTAAGCACTTTACCTGTATTATCCCCATTTAATCCTCAGGTTGAACCTTTAAGGTAGATTACTGACCCTCTCCCATTTTTACAGACAAGGAGATTAAGGAGGGACATGGAGATCAAGCATTTTACCAGAAATTTTACACTTAGCAAATAGAGAGCCTAGGATTTCAAACCAGGTGGTGCAACTCTAGGGGTCTGGCTGCTTTTAAGAAGACTCAGATTGCAGGAAGGATAAACTATGTTAACAAGGTCCATGGTTAAAAGGTGAAACCACAAAGTGAAAAGCCAGAAATAAGGAGTATTTCCCTATAGTTGCTGGGAATTGGGGCCTGTAGGCCCCTGTTTTAATGAAATGGAGAAAGCAAGGCAGCACATTCACCTTCCCTGAAAATGAAACAGCAGGAACTGAAAAGCAAACCATGGCCCAGTCCCAGAACAAGACAAACAACCATAGTTTTAGAGCCTTCATCCTAGGGTCTTTGGACAAGTGAGAACTTTACTAGACCAATTCATTCGATGGCCGATGAAAATATAACCACGAATAATGTAAAGATCTAAACCACTGGGTGAAAGCTTGTTGAGAATTAAGATGTTTACAGAATCTCAAAGTGTCTTTCTCAGATTATTATTAATTACAAAAGGAAAATGGTCCCGTAAGAATGGAGAAAGCTGGCAGATACAGCTTTACCCAAGTGATCAAAGTTACTTACCATTACCAATCACAAGACATTGACATTTATCATGTGCCTACAGAATACTCCCGTCACATCTACCTAGATCTAACCATGAGGAAGCTATTCTGCAAATCCAAAATGAGGGACAGTTCACAAACACTGACCTATTTTTTTTCCTTTTTTAAAGTCAGTGTCACGAAATATTTTTAAAGGCTTGAGAACCATTTTAGATTTCTAGAGAAGTAAAGATAACCATAAATATGTATAAATGTTAAATGTCAAATTAAAAGAGTGAAGAGATATGGCAACTATTAACAATGCATGATCCCTAATTGAGTTCTAGGATAAAGGACATTATTGGAAGAACTGGGTAAATTTGG